CTTTCAAGCTGTTTAAATATATTGAAAAATTATTAGATAAGAGCATATTTTTTGTCTTAATTTTTAAATAAAATTTTTAGTTTATACTGGTTTATATACAAAGTTCATATACACTCTTTTTCCACACCAAATATTTCCCATTTCCTTTACCCACACCTTCCTCAGCCCATCAAATTGTATGACCCTATGATTAACTCTGCCTATTCTCACCCCTCTGCTTCTACTTTCTTCTTCCTTAGGTTCCTCATACATGTTTTACTAGTTAGCTTTCTATTTCTACAACAATCATCTTCTGCAGTATTTTTCCGTATGGAACTGACTGTCCTAAGAAGATGTTTATAAGTGCTATATAACCTTAACACTATGGACTCTTATGGTCAACCTTAGATGTGACAGTTTCAGTCAGAAAAATTTAGACAATACAGGATTTGAAGATGAGAAAAATATAAGAAGAGCATTAGAGACATGGATTTTACTGTTTGAGAATTCATATGATACTATTATTTACCAGTTTTCTTGGCAACACTCTTCCAAGTTTTAGCACAGAAGGGTGCTAAAATGAAAAAATTAGTTGGAATGTATGTGTGTGTGTACATGCACGTTATGTTCTACCTCTAGTTTGTGCACGTTCATGATGTTTCAAAGGAAACCTAATGGCCTGAGTATTTTTTTTTTCTAGCAACCCAGTAGTTAAGTTCTTGGCTCTTAGAAATGTTTGAACCCACCAACTGTTCCAAAGGAGAAAAATACTGTATTCTCCTTCTGTAAAGATTACAGCTTTGGATACCCTATGGGGCGGTTCTACTATGTTCGATGAATTTAAATAGATTGGATGGTAATATATAAATAGATATGTAAAGACATATATATTCTATATCTAACTCTATAACATTTGAGTAAAGTAAGGATAGCCTTAAAGAGAAAATGAGGAAAGGTAATCATTTTGTCAATAATTCTTTGACCTTTTTCTGGTGAGAAATTTTGAAATAATTTTATGAGAGACTATATATCCTCTGGACAATAAATACGTTTAACCAAAAGAGAAAAGGGAAAACTGAGTTTTCAAAAGCTTAGAATCCTAGAAAGGAAGTGAAAAATAGCACTTTCTCTGAAAGAAACTTTGACAAAGAGTTTTATAAAATATTTGTAGAAAAATTTTAGTCTGTAAAACCCATCTTCATCTATGGTCCAAGAAGAAGCTTCTGAGACTAATTTCAGGAATAATATGAATTTTCACTTTACTCCAAATTAATTAAAAGCTCTAAGTATCTTCATACCAATTCTGAAGGAAAAGATAAAATTCTACCATGGAAACATCAATATTTTGATAAAAATCCCAGTCCTCTGTTAAGTGCACATATCTCTGAATGGATGAAGTATTATTTTCAAATACATTATGAGTATGAATTATTTTCTTGTATTTTCTATTAGGAAAGAATAGGAAAGCTACAGGATTTTGGCTGCAAAGAAGTTCTAGGCAAGTATTACTTGTGGTGCTGACTTTCTTCTTTATCTTAGTAATCATCATTGAGTTCACAGTCCTAGTAATTCATATTAGATTATTTTAACATGCTTCTAACTGACTCCTATACTCCCTGAAATCCTACTCACAAAAATTCATGTGAATTCAAACTAAGCTTGTTTTAAAATGCCTTCTTTTATTATTTTCTAACTTAACAACTGATTATAAGCATTTCAAATGAAAGGAATAAAAATTTCTGATCTTTCCAATCATTTAAAGAATGCTGTGCACTTCCTTTATCAAATGGCTGCTTAGTAGGTTATTTATCATATCCTTTTTTATATTAGTAAATGCCTTTTTGATAATTACATTTGAGCATTGTACCACTTTCTCAAATTAACAAAGCTTAAATGGAAGACTAAATGATTTAATCAAAATAAGTTATTTATTCTTATGTTTTAATTGCCACAAGAAATATTAACATTCTCTGACTCAACTGGGTGGGAAACTTAAAAATGAACCTCTCTCATTCAATTTATCTTCATGGACTAAATTACTAGATCTACAAATTAACTTGCAATCTAGTTTTCATGATAGTTCTACTCATTAGATCTCCAGATAAATACACAAATGCTGTGTTACCTCCATCTCCAAATTAACATATACAAAATAAACCTCTGTAATCCTCATAGTTAGATAGTAGAGAAAAATATTTTTAATAAATAATTTAAATTTGAAGTAGGCAGTAACTTGATGAAGATGGAAAATATTCTTTGTATAACAGGTAAATTGAATGGATTCCAAAAAAATATATAATAATAGATATTGAGAACAACAGACTTTTGTAAAGAACATTTTGAAGGAAGAGTCAGTAGGCTGAACTGACATTGTACATAGGGTGTGAATTTTAAGAAAGAATCTAAATTTGCGTAAAGTTTTTGCAGTTATGTAACAGAAAATAGCAATGCTGTTAATATGCAAAAATAAGATAAAGTGGATTTATAAGATTAATTGTACACATTTTTTGGTATAATTTGTAATCTACTTTTAAATAATTTAATATAATCTTACAGATAAACTTTAATTTGACTATATAATTGGGTTATACTATATCATTTCTATTTCTTATAAAAGTTAAAATGAAATAAAATCTTTCTCAGCTATCTCATTGCCATCAGCTTGGAATCTACTCATAGCTGACCTTCCAGTGGGTTTTCAGAGGCTGTAAATTGTATGGAAAGATATTGTCTATTTTTCTCTATTGGAGCCACTGATGGTTTTAAGAATCCTGAGAAGCTCAGTCTTTGGGTTAGCAGAGCAACTCCCTATAGACCCACCAGAGCTCACTATACACAGCTGTAGTGAAATGGATTAAGAAGAGCAGTGTATTTTGCAATTGAAAGGTTAAAAGTTGTAAAGAGTAAGAATAAATAAACTAAAATCATCATACCACCTTTGCCAGGAGAAAAAGAAATTATTCAAGTTATATAACAGCAAATTTGTCTAAGTTATTATTACTAAATGCAAATAAAAAATCCAAAACTAGTAACCCTGACCTGAATAGCCTTCTGGGAGACATCAGTGTTTCCTGATTCAAGGGCCATAAAAGCATTTATGAGGCCATTGTTCTCCAAATTATCTGTAGCAAGTAGATGATGTCCTCCTGAAATGTAAATATATAAACAAAGGCACTTTTTAAAACAAAATCTTTGGTATTTTAGTGATTAATAGTGTAACAAATGTAAAAATAAAATATAAACAACATAATTGTCTCAGTATTATTAAAATAGGCTGAGATTGATAGGGTTGTATTGATGAAGTCAGGATTGTTCAAACATTTGGTATAACTGTAAAATTAACATTAGTTGCCCTCAGCCTACAAAACTGGTCCTTTGCCCTAGAACTCTATTTTTCTTTCTTAAGTCATGTAAAGTACTTTAAACTGTTTGTCTACCAAAAAATAAAATGCCTCACTCTTGGATCAGTATTCACCTCTTTGAAACTGTTTTTCTCATTTGTGTGCAATCCTTTTCTGGATTAACACTTATCTCTTTGAAGATTTTTTTTTCAGTTAAGAGAATGAACAGGTTTGTCCCGCAATGGTTGAAACCAGGTTGGTCTTTGGAGGCAAGGATTTTGACGCTCCCTCTAACATACTTTGGGCATGTTGCAAGGAGGGCCAGTCCTTGGAGAAGGACATCATGCATGGAATGTTGGAGGGACAGCGTAAGAGCAGAAGACCCTTGATGAATGAGATGGACTAACTCAGGGCAATAGGGGTAAGTGTGTCAGAGACAGTAAGATTGGCACAGGATAGAGCAGAGTTCAGAGCTGTTGTACTTAAAGTCTCTATGAGTCGCAGGTGACTTAATGGAACATTACAAAAACAACATTTATAATTGGATCAGCATTTATCTCTTTGAAGATATTTTTTCTCAAGTTATATGTAATTAAATTAATATCTATTTCTTTAGATGTCTTTCTCAGTCATACACAAACCATATCATAAACTTTTTCTAGAAACTGTAATACCTAACTCAAGCATAAAAACTGATGACCACCCTTAGACTGGAAAGCAGTTTTTGAGAAGAATCTCACTGTTTTCCTAGATCTGCAATAAAGTGCTCTGGATATTGCAATCCATCTGTCTTACTGATGATTGACTACAGAAAGAATGCCTTGTGTTCAGTAACAAAGTGAAGTGTAAAAATTAACTTCAAAGCTAATTTAAAAGTATGAAAACTGCTGTTGTTAGGTACCGTCAGGTTGACTATGACTCATAAGGAACCTATTGAAAACAGATCTGAAACTTGCTCTATCCTGCACCATTCTCACGATCTCTATCATGCTCAAGCCCATTTTTGTAGTTACTGCATTAGTCCATTTCATTGAAAATCTTACTCTCTTTTGCTGATGTTCTACCTTTCCCAGCATGAGGTTTTTTAAGGACTGGTTCTTTCTGAAAACATACCCAAAGTAAGTGAGATGATGTTTCACCATCTTTATCTTTAAACAACACTCTGGTTTTAATTTCTACAGATTTGTTTTTCTTTTGGCATTCTATGAGATATTCAATATTCTCCACAAACACCACAATTCAAAAGCATCCATTCTTCTGTCATTTACTGTTCAATTTTCATATGCAAAGGAAGCAATTGAAAATGCCAAGGCTTGGATCAGGCACACTTTAATCTTTGACATCATTATTCCTCAGGACTTTGGAGACATCCATGACAGCAGATTTCCCCATGCAATATGAGTTTTGATTTCTTGATTGCTGCTACCAGTGGTGTTGATTGTGAGTCCAAGTGAAATGAATTGACAATTTTATCTTTTCTCTGTCTATCACGATGCTGCCTACTGGTTCACTGGTGAGTATTTTTCTTTCCTTTATATTGATATGTAACCTATAATGAAGGTTGTAGTCTTTCAGGTGCAGTATGTGCTTCAAGTCCTCTTTATTTTCTGCAAGCATGATGGTGTTATCTGCATATGCAGTTTGTTGATGGCATATTCATCTTCATATAGTCCATATTATCAAATTATTTGCACAGCATATAGATTAAATAATTATAGAGAAAGGGTTAAACTGAATCACACCTTCTCTGATTTTGAAACCAACAGTATTTTTTTTTATTTTAATTAAAGGTTCCAGAGATGTTGGATTTCCATTCATTCATTGTTGCGCACTTACCTCCCTGCCCACACCTCCATGCCAGTTCACTTTGAAAAGAAAAAAAATTATTGTGATACAATCCCTCCTAACCCTCCAACCCATTCACTAGGCACCTTTTATTCTGGACTCTTGTAATGACAATAATACCTAATCAAATATTCCTTCTAAACAGTTTTCTTCCTTATCTGTTTCATGCAGTATACATTATTTATCCCCTCTTAGTCCCACTTACAGCTGTGACACTATGCAGTATATGTCCTCTTGGAACTGAGATATTTCACTCAGCATAATGTCTTCCAAGGTCACCCATATTGTATAATATTTCATGAGTTCCTTGTTTTACAATGCAGCATAGTAGTCTATTTTGTGAATATACCAAAGCTTCTCTATCCATTCATTTGTTGATGGGCACTTGGGTTGTTTCCAACTCTTTGCTATTGTGAACAAAACCGCAATAAACACGGGTGTGCATATATCTGCTTGGGTGGCAGTTCTGGTTTCGTTAGGGTATATTTCCAAAAGTAGAATTGCTGGATCAAATGGTATTTCTATTTCCAGTTTTTGAGAAAGTGTTACATTGCCTTTCAGAGTGGTTACACCATTTTACACTATGCCAACAGTAAATAAGAGTTTCAGTTTCTCTGCAACCTCGCCAGCATTTGTTGCTTGCTGTTCTGTTAAATTTTGCTATTCTTACTGGTATGAAATGATATCTCATAGTTGTTTTGATTTGTATCTCTCTTAGAGCAAGGAATTTTGAACATTTCTTCATGTGTTTGCCATCTGAATGTCTTCTTTGATAAACTATCTGTTCATATCCTGTGCCCATTTTGCAATTGGGTTGTTTACCTTTATCTTCTTGTGGTGCTCAAGTAAGTTATAAATTCTAGATATAAATCCCTATCAGACATGCCACTACCAAATATTTTTTTCCCAGCCTGTGGCTTTCCTTTTACCCTGTTGGAGAATATTTTGGACTTGCATAGGGATTTGATTCTCAGAAAGTCTCATACATCTATTTTACCCTCTCCTGGTTCTAGGTCTTTCAGAATGCATGGAATACTGTTTATGTTGTGAAATAGAGCTTCAAGTGTTCCTCTTAGCTTTTTCTCTAATGAAGTTTATAGTCCTTGGGTTTAGTCTTTGGCCCTTTATTCATTTTGAGTTGGTTTTTGTATATGGAGTGAAGTGTGGATCTTGTTTGAGGTTTCTGCAAATGGTTTTCCAATTTTGCAAACACCATTTGTTAAAAAAGCTGTTGTTTCCCCACTTCACTGGTTTAATTTCCTTGTCAAAGGTCAATTGACCATAGGTAGATGGGCTGATTTCTGGGTTCTCAATTCTGTTCCATTGATCTATGTGTCTGTCATTGTACCAGTACCATGCTGTCTTAACCACCACGGCAGTGTAGTAGGGTTTGAAAACAAGGAGTGAGATACTTCCTACCTTGTTTCTCTTTTTAAGGATTGCTTTACTTATTCAGGGTCTCTTTCCATTCCAAATGAAATTGGAGATTACCTTTTCCATCTCATTGAAGAATGAAATTGGTATTTGTATTGGGATTGCACTGAACATGTAAATTGCCTTTGGTATTATTTTAATTTTCACAATATTGAGTCTTTCTATTCAAGAGCAAGGTATATACTTCCATTTCCCCAGGTCTGTTTTTATTTCTTGTAAAACACTTCATCACAAGATTATTGTAAGGAGTAAGTGATAAGGAAGCCCGGAAGCAGGAGCAGCATCCACTTCCAAAATGGCTCGCCTTCAGAAACTCTATGTACGAACGAACAGTGCTCAGGCCTTTCATCCATAGGGTTGCTATGAGTCATCTACGACTCGACAGCATCTAACAACAACAACAGCAACAATGATGGTTAACAGTTTTAGTTTGCTATGCTTCACAGTCAACACTCTTGTTACCACCAGCCAGGAAATCAAGAAACAAATTGCATTGGGAAAGTCAGCTGTCAGGGACATCTCCAAAGTACTGAAGAGCAACAACATCAGGCTGGAGACTAAGGTGCACCTGATCTGGGCCATATTCTTCGCAATTGTCTGCAATGCATCAGAGAGCTGGACAGTGACTAGGGATGATAGAAAGAGAATTTATGCCTTTGAGCTGTGGTGCTGGAGAAGAGTATTGAATGGACTGCTAGGAAAACAAAGAGGTTTGTCCTGAAAAGGGTGAAACTGGGCTGTTCCTTGGAGGCAAGTATTCTGAAGCTTCATCTGACATATTTTGGGCATGTTGCAAGGAGGGACCAGTCCTTGGAGAGGGACATCATGTTTGGGGGAGTGGAGGGACAGTGCAGGAGAGGAAACTTTTGATAAGATGGATCAATTCAGTGATTGGGGTAATAGGAGTTGGTGTGGCAGAGACAGTGAGGTTGACACAGGATAGAGCAGGGTTTAGGGATCTTGTACATAGGGTCACTATGAGTCGCAAGTGACTCAATGGAACATAACAACAACAACAACAACAAAGGTTTTGTAAAATTTTTTAAATAGATCCTTTGGGCTTCTGTTTAGATTTACACCCAAGTATTTAATCTTGTGATTAGCTATTGTAAAAGGTGTTGTTTTTCTTAACTCCAGTTCTGTATTCTCTGTGTCACTTTAGAGAAATTCAGTTGAATTTTGTATGTTGAACTTGTATCCTACCACTTTGCTGAATTGATCAACTATGTCAAGTAGTTTTCTTGCTGAGTCTTTAGGGTTTTCTAAGTATACTCTCATATCATCTGCATAGAGAGATAATTGTACCTACTCTTTGCCAATTTGGATACCTCTTATTTCCTTCTCTTGTCTTATTGATATAGCTAAATCTTCCTATACAATATTGAATAGGCAAGGTGATAGTGGGCATTCTTGACTAGTTACTTTTCTCAAGGGGAATGTCTTTAATCTCTCCCCATTGAGAACAATGTTGACTCTCACTTTTGCGTATATACTTTTTACTATGTTGAAGAAATTCCCTTCTAATC